GACTTGCCAGGCAGTGTTCAGCCACTCTCTCTTGCCCCTCTCAGGTCTCTACTGCAGTGGCTGGGTGAAGACGGGGCCCACAGGTGTCATCACCACGACCATGACAGACAGCTTTCTCACCAGCCAGATGCTGCTGCAGGACCTGAAGGCAGGGCTACTGCCCTCCGACCCCAGACCTGGCTGTACAGCCGTTCAAGCTCTGCTCAGCAAGCGAGGTCTGAGCCTAAGGCTGAGGCCTGGGGGCGGGGAGGGGTGAGGGTGGCTTGTCTTTGGAACTTCACCCTTTGAGAGGAGGATCCTGAGGAGCTGGGAGGAGGGGATGGCATTAGCTCATCTTCCTATCTGCCTTAGGAGTCCGGCCAGTCTCTTTCTCAGACTGGGAGAAGCTGGATGCTGAGGAAGTATCCCGGGGCCAGGCCAGTGGGAAACCAAGGGAGAAGCTGGTAGATCCAAGAGAGATGCTGCAGCTACTGGGGCACTGAGCCTGCAGCCCAGCCTCCAGCTGGGAAGAGAACTGTGCTGGAGGAGGGGTCTGAGCCAGTCTGAGCTGGACTCTTCTCCACTACAGTGCTGAGTGCTCTGGCCGCTCGGAGGGCAAACTGTGGCCCTTCCAGGGGCCTCTGAACTCTGCCTTCTGCAAGCTGACCTTCCAGTGTGGGTTTGGGGCAAGGAGAGAACCTTAAGCTAGGATGGATGGAGGTAGAGACTGGCTCTACCTGCCCTACTTCCTTCCTGACGGACTGGAGAATGAACACAATGGAAATAAAAAGCTGTACCTAAGAGCCGTGGTTGACAGGCTGCTTTTGGGGGGAAGGGGTCATTTTCTGGCTCCAGTTTGCCTATGGCTGCCAGATAGAACTGAGGAGACTGATCCTTGCTCAAGAGCCTCTTGGGGACGGAGAGGGGCGGGGGACAGGATAGACTGTGGGGCAGGGAGCTTGGGTGGGGTGGAGGTGGCCGGCTCGGCAGTCAGACCTGGAATGCACCTACCCTCCCTTTCCTGCCCTCCGCTTCTGCGTCCTCCATCTTCAGTCCACGCTTCAGTCACTGGTGATGAGTCCCTTATTTGTGTCTATTTGTGTCCCCTGCTGGCCTCACTGCCTGGTGGCCCCAGGACAGAGAAACAGTCACAGAAGAGAAAGAAGGTGGAGTGAGGGCCCTGGGCAGAGCTGGCCCGGGTCTGCCCTGAGTGTCTCCTGGTTGCTGGCAGGCTCGGCCTGGCCGGCTAATCTCCACACGCCCTGTGCCTTTCCATTTTCAAGCTTCCAGACAAATCCACAAGCCTTTTCAAAAAACTATTTCAGCCTATGGGAGTTTACAGCCTCTTACGGCAGCAAGATGCTGGCCTTACTTTACACACTGAAGGAGCCACGAAATTAACTGGCCCAAGGTCACACGGCTAGGGAACTAAGGGCTCAAACCCAGGGCTGGCAAGCTGGTGTTTGGCTTCCTTCGCCTCTGAGTGCTGGGTCTGGGGACAGGTTTCCAGAGCAGGAGAGAGGAGAGGGGACCAGCTAAGAGCACAGGCTGGCTGGGAGGGGCCTGGAGGGGCCAGAAGCGCGCCGGTGGCCGGCTGGGGCAAGCCAGGGCGGGGCGGAGGCGACCGGCGGTGGCGAGCTCCAGCACAGTCGGCTGGTGAGCCCCGAGAGCGAGAGCGGGAGGTGCGCCTTTGCAAAGCCCAGGACCCAGCCCTGCCGCGGGGCGCGGGGCGGGAGCGGGGGCGGGCGGCATCCAGGCCGCGCCACCCGCACCGGTCCCGCCGCGCCCGGCTCTGGTGCCCGCCGAGCTAGCAGCCAGCGTGCCAGCTCGCGGGGGGCTGGTGCCCGGGACGCGGGAGGCTGTCGTGTGCTCTGGGCGTGGGTGCAGCGCCCCTTCTCCGGGTGAGTGTCGGCTGGGGGCTGGCGGGGAGGGGGGCGCCAACTTCGTGGGCAACTTAAGGGGCTCCAGCGCCGCACGGGCAAGGACAGTGGAGACAGACGCGGGACAGTCCGGTCAGGTCGGGAGTCAGGGACCCGAAGGGACAGCTACGCTCGGGAGCCGGACCGCTGTTGTGGACCCGAGCGCAGAGGAGACGAGCAGAGACGGGCTAGGGAGGCAGACTAGCCGCGGGCGCGAGGGAAGGACTCGGGCGGGGAGCCCAAGGCGTTTGTCCCTAGGGTCGCGGAGCCTCCTTTCCTTCTCCTGGAGTGTTGGCCCGGCCAGCCTGGGCACAGTCCCTGGACGCGGGAGACTGGGTTGCCCGGTCCAACTGTTGCAGGTAGAAGCCGGCTGCTGGGGCAAAGAAGCCGGTAGGGGCCAGGACCTGGGGCCGAGGCTGGGCTCGGCAGAGCGCAGGAAGCTGGAAAGCACACAGAGCTCGGAGAGCAAGAAGGGGGCTGTGGCAACTGGCGAGCTGGTCCTTGCTGGGCACCTGCTGCGCGCACCTGCCTCTCGCGGACCCCCTCACTGGGGTGAGTCCCCCAGACCTCCGCCCCCCCCCCACTCTCTTCCATGGTAGCTCCTAACGCTTCATCCCCTGACCTCTGAGAATCAGTGGGTTTCTGGGGTGACAGCTTTCCCCAAGCGCCGAACCCCACGCCGTTTCCTCCCGGCTCTGAGGGCTCCAAAAGGAGAGGGGGCAGAAAGGGCCCCGGGAGAGCCGGCGCCTGGCGCCCTGGGCCCTGGAAGCACCAGTTGGTAGCTGTGGTCTCCTGGGGCTTCAACTAGGACCGCCGACGGCTGGGAGGAGAAGCCTGCGTCTCCGGCTGTGGAAGGCGTTTTGTGCTTGGCCTAGACAGGCAGGGGGAGGATTGCCAAAGGCAAAGGCACCTAGCAGTCTGCAAATCTCCCAAGGGCTCAATTGGCGACCCTTCAAAGGCCCTGCGGGGCGAGAGGCAGGGATCCCCGCTGGGTCGGACACTGACCCCATTTGCTCACTCTGTTTCCTAGCCCTCCCTTCCCGGTGGGACATCTGGAATAGCACACACTCAGCCTTCAGATGGTGGCCCAGTCCTGGCCCCGTCAGCAGCCCGCACCCCCAGTCATGAGAAAATTTAAGGAGGAAAAAAATAAAACAAAACCCCGTATTTGGGAAAGATGTCATCCCACTGACTTTCTGGAGCACATCCAGTCCCTGCCTCTGAGCGAGTTTCAAAAGTTGTTAAGAATAAAAACGTGAAAGGGGCGGGCGGCAGGAAACTGGATGCCTCGGGGTTCACTCGGGACCCCCTGGACTGGGTCCTGACCCGCAGGCCAGCCTGCCAGGCTAACTCTGCTATCCCTTGCCCAAGGCCTTGAGATACAGACCTAATGTGGGGCGGTAGGCTGGGCGCAGTGGGTTTCTGGGATGGGACTGGGGCTGCGGTTGGAGGGAAGAGTTCAGGGGGCAGTGGCCAGGCTGGGGGCTCAGAGTGCGTGGTGCTCAATTTGGCCGCCAGGAGGCGTGGCGCGGGTCCCCGCGCCCGGAGTCACCGCCACTGCCGCTGCATCGCGAGTGTCCTTGAGCGGCGAGTGATGGTGGCTCCTCGGTGCTCGCGCCCCCTCCTCCCGCAGGGGCAGCCAGATGCCACGTTCCCTATGAATTATTTATCGCCGGCCTAAAAATACCCCGAACTTCACAGCCCCAGAGTAAGATTCTTGCAAGGGGAGGGGGCGGGGCACCCCCGGGGGCTGAGAGGGATCAGCCGGGAGGGGGCAGTTAGTATTGGAAGAGGCAGAACTTGGTTGTCCCCGGTGTGGACAAGATAGAGGGGGTCTCTCTGCAGGCGACTGGGGCGTTAGCGGGGCAGCGAAGGAAAGCGACACGGTAGAGAGGGTCATCGCACTGAGGGTCCTCACTGGCAGGAATCAGCAGCGTGGGTGGATAATACTAGCTTTTGGGAACACAGCTTCTGGGCATTGGGAGTGGGGGATGTCATCAGTGTCCCGGGTTAGTGAGTGTGTGTATGTGTATGCACGGCCTTGTCAAGGAGCCTGCGTGTGACTGGGGGTTGGCACAAGCGGAAGAGGAGGTCCCTGAACATGTGGGGTTGATGGAACCTTTCAGGGGGTGCAGAGTGTCCTAAAGGACTGGCCTTTGCCAGTCTCTTCCCTGTCCTTGGGGGTCAGGTGTTCAGCAAACACTGCTTTAAAGACCCATTGGCAGAGAGATCGTCATCAGAAAGGCACAAAGATCCAACAATGATGAGGGGGTCCGAGGATGGCCGCTCCGAGCTCCACACCCTGAAGGGAAAGAGCAGTGGGACTCAAACCCTGCCTTTTTCCTGGGGGTCCAGAGATGATGGGTCAAGATTAGCAGCAGAAGCCTATAGAAGAGGGTCTTAGGTTGGGCTCTAAGACAATAGCATTTTGTTAGGAAGAGGTTTCTCTGCCCTGAGCAACAGCAGGAACCAAAGCAGGAGATGAAGACAGTGTACCACTAGCAGGGGTGAGTGTCCAAGGAGGAGAAGACAGTGGGGTTGGGGGTAGCTTGTTGGACACTGGTAGTTCAACAAGAGAGAAGATCCCTGCTTGACACTTGTCACAGGGAGCAAGTTCTAGCGGTTAGGAGGGCAGGAAGCAGATGGGGAGGAGAGGTTGGGGCCAGGGACATGAAATGGACGTTGCCATCTTGTGAGGAGATGCCCTGTCACACTGCTTTGTGAGCTCAGGGACTTGCTGGCTTTCAACTCTTACAACCTGCCTCAGCTTCCCCTTCCTCTTCACCCTTAACTCAGCAGTGTATTTTCACAGTGGGAGAAAGCTGGCAAGGAGCAGCCTCCCTTCCGGGTTGGGAGAGAACCTGGCCCTTCCCCCAGGCTCACATCGTCTGAAGGAAATAAAACAGGAGCCACATGAACAGTTTTTAAAGTTTCTGGCACCAACATTAATAGAAGAGAAAAGAGCCAGGTGTGATGGGCACATATCTTTAATCTCAGCACCAGGGACACAGAGGCAGGCAGGTTTCTGTGAGTTCTGGTGTGCATAGTAAATTCTAGGCCAGCAGGAGCTGTGTACTGAAACCCTACTTCAAAAGAAATAAATAATTAAATGAAATGGAAAAAGCAGCAGATGATATTTTAATGCTATAGTTTGTTTGTTTGTTTATTAGACAGGGTTACTCTGTGTAGCCCTGGCTGTCCTGGACCAGGACGTTCCATAGACCAGGCTGGCCTCAAACTCTCTAGAGATCTGCCTGCTGGAAATTAAAGACATGCACCACCATGCCTGGCTTAATAGTATAGTTTAATTCGACATATCCAAAATATTATTTTAACAAGTAGTGAATGTAGAAATATTAATGAGAAGAGGGGACAAGCTGGCTCAGCGGATAATGAGTTTTCCACATAAACATGACCGGTTTGGATTCCCAGAGCTCACGTAAATGCTGGATGGGCACTGTAGCTTGCCTGTAATTCTAGTGCTCCGGGTTCGACGGAAATACTCTACGTCGGTGAAGAAGGTGGGGAGGAAGGCAGGCAGACTTCCACTGCACGTGTACACACATACACATCTGAATACACACCACACACATACACACACACACACACCATGTGAAAAAAGTAAAAAAAAAAGGGGGGGATATTATTGAGGTAGCTTACACACTGTTTTCCATACTTTTCACAGCACCTCACTTTACTGCACATACCTCACTTTACCGAGAAGCATTTCAGACCTTGTGTGCTTGGGGCTAGTGCATTGGCCAGCACAGGTGGAGAGGGCCCATCACCAGCAGGCAGAGGTTGGGAACTGGATAAGCACGCAGGCCTTCAGAGAGGCAGTGAGCAGGACAGTGTCCTTCGCTGTCATGCTTGGAAATTATATA